AAAAGGTAAATATGGCGGGACGTCTTGAGGGCCAGCCCGGACTCGGCCCACCTGGTGAAAATTTTTTACACACGAGTCCAGAATTGTCCCGGTCAAAAACTCATTGTTATCAAAACCGGACCGGACCCGCCGGTTCGACCGGTTGGACCGGGAACCGGACCTAGTACCGGTCCGGTTTGCATGTTTGGGCCGGTGGATGTAAGAACCGGTATTGAACCGGTCGAACCGGTTCAAAACCGGTAAAACCGGTGAACCGGTACCGGTTCGACCGGTCGAACCGGTTCTCAAAATAAATAAAAAAAATATAATGAAAAAAAAAATATTGATTATGTTAATGTTTGAGTGAACTTTATTTAGTATTGTTTATGGTAACTATACTTAAAATATTGATTTTTCAACTCTTATTTAGAAAAATGTCATTATATGCTATAAAATTAATGATAAATATATACATAACTATATATTATACATATAAAATAAATATATAAATTATATATTTGTTAAACCGGTTGGACCGGTTCGATCACTAGTCCGACCATTGAACCATTGAACCAGTAGCTTCACCGGTTTGATGACCGGTCCGATTTTGAGAACTTGGCAAAATCTACGGACTAAGTTCTAAGTGAGGTCTATTTACAACTATCAGAATCGGGGTCCGATTCCTTGTCTTAGTCATGGACATTGTACGAGATCCTGGACTCTCGACTGCTAACTTATCAATAGACTAATAAAATATTAAAAATATTTCATAACTAAATCTTGACCAACAGTCAAAAGCTTTCAACAATCAGATTAGTGGGTTGCCACCGGTCCAATATAAGGCCACGGGTCGGCTTGACTCGGTCAACAGATAAAAAAAAAAAAGGTAAATATGGCGGGACGCCTCGAGGGCCAGCCCGGACTCGGCCCACCTGGTGAATATTTTTTACACACGAGTCCAGAATTTCACAATGGAGATTCCACGTTGGACGTTTCCTTGGCTACCAAGCATAGCTTCTGGACGTTTGCTTTCATAGGTAAACTTCAATCAAGAACGTTTGATATGCTTGAAAGCTTAGCTCTTGGACGCTACACATGACCACAAGCTTTCCAGTTAGATGTTTACTTGACCCTCAAACTTTGATTATGGACGTTTGTTTCAAAGAAAAGCTTCGTTGTTGAACGTTTGACTAACTTACAAGCTTAGCTTTAGAACGTTTGTTTTCACAGTCAAACTTTCATTTTGCACGTTTAACTACATTAAAAGCATAACTTTGGGACGTTTGATTTCACATAAAAGCTTTAGAACTAGACGTTTACTGTGCTCCAAAGCTTACGATTTTGATGTTTCACGTGGACTAAAGCTTTCATTTTAGACGTTTAAAGGCAATATAAGCTTGAAATGTTAAAGTTTTACATGTGTTGCCCCTTACCACTTAGACGTTTCTCTTTAGAGTCGGGCTTCATCATTGGACGTTTACATGGCTTCCAAGCACATGTCCTGGACGTTTAGTATCACAGTCGGGCTTCACTACCGGACGTTTTTTTTGTTGTCAAGCTGAACTTATAGACGTTTTGTCGGCTTCCAAGCATAGCTAGTAGACGTTTGAATATTTTTTTTTCAATAATTTTTTTTCTTACCACAAGGATATTTTTGTAAATTTGTTATTTTTTATTATTATTTTCGGGCGACAAATAGTAATTTGGGGCGACAAATAGCAGTCCTGAAAAACAAAAGGGCCTATAGTTATTTTTTCTTTTTTCCCTAAAAACTAATGAATATAACGAAAACGAAGATCCCTGCACATCCCATTTTAATCCCATCAACAGCCCGATCTCCTCCGCAGCACCGCCTTAAAATCCAAGTTCATCACTCCGGCCAGCTAGACGAAAACCGTCGGGTTGAGGACGCCGGCCGGGTTCCTGAATCGATCTATGTGTCCATGGAGATTGTAAAAGGCGGGCGATAATCCCCATCAGGTGGTGTATAGTGCTCTTTGAAATTCTACAGCGAGTGTGAGAGGCTTAATGACGTGTTGAAGTGTTTGAAAAAATGCCCAACTGAAATTTATTGCAGGGGTGGGTTCTTTGTGAGAGACCAAGGCCTTTGAAACGATCAGGAAACTGCAGAGGAAGGATGGGGTGTTTACATGGTTAAGTCTACCTGTGGTTCTATTGATTTGTTATGGCACTTTATATCGGTAAAGAGGTACATGCCGTTGTTGTGTTGAATTCACGTTTGGATAATTAGTCAAAATGTGGAAATGATTTGTTATGGTTCTATTGATAATGGTATATTTGTTCATGACATCAGATGACGAAATGTGGGTAGAGTTGGTCTGTGGGCACAGTGAGAGGCTTTTGGCGCTATTACCTCAATTTATACGAGAAATGGATAGTCGATCAGAATTACGAAGAACCGGGCAACACAAGTTGAGATTGATTGGGAGAAAGATTATCTGGAGAGACCCAAACCTTCTTCATAATTTTGAAAGGGAAAGCGAGGAACCCAGCTGTAAGTGTAAAGCTATCTGATCGAAAATATGATCTGCTTAGCAAAAGTTTATGTTTGATATTAATAAGGACGACTCATTTATCTTATCGTAATTCATTATGATGTTTGTAAAAACTTATGCTTGTAGGAGGAGCAATTTAGAAATGCAGAATCTAGAGAGTAATTAAGATCCAATTTTACAATTAAAGGGTAAGAAATTAAATAAAAATAATGAAATAAACCGAATTAGAATGTCAAACAAATATCTCAGCCTCAGGCTCGATATTTTGTATCTTTAAATTACAAAATCCCTGTCCTGTTGGTTACTAGTTAAAAACTTCAAATTAAACGCTAGAAGGAAATACTATGAGTACCAAAAAGATCATTTTCGCCTACGGAGATTATATCTCTTGCTATTTGAACTGCTTACTGAGGAATCATCCTCGATTTCCTTAGGTAATAAGTAGTCAGGGTCTTCTAACAGGTTCACCTCTTCTGGTAACTCAGTATCGACCCATGAAGACCAGTTTACTTCGCTGTCAGCATCCATGTCGTCCCATGACAATAGCCCTTTCCCACTTTGCATTATATTCACTTTCTCCATCAGTGTCAGTAGCATTTGATGGTTAAGCACTTCATAATCCCTGCCACCATTTTGCATAACATTCATATTCACGTCAATATAATCTGTCTGTTTACTTCCAGGCATAATTATGAACTTACTCCTTTTCTAGTGTGGCCTTTTTAAATTAAAAATTATACCAAAGCCAAAGGGGTATTTGTAATATTTGATAGATAATGGGAACCTGATTTTTTGTACATTGCGGCTGTAAAATTTCACCTGTAGGTAAAAATGGCATACAGATATTGGACGGACGCGAGAAACCAAAAGAGTGATCTAACTGCATGAATTATCCTCCCTTGCCTTTCAGCTTCGGTTGTTATATACCACAGTATAATTACTTCAATAAAAAATGCCACGCACAGACCTGCGAGAGAAATTCCATCAGCAATGGATAAAAACTACAATGTTGGGAGCTTTGAGAACTGTACACGAAAATTGAGGCCGTGACATAAAATCTTTACCTAAGTAGAGTCTGTGTCTCACGTTGTACGCTTGCTTTATGCTGGTCAGCATGTAGATGATAAAAATTGCTATAGAGTAGACAAAAAAAGTGATGATCACTCGAGACTCGAATAGCATGGCACTGTGTAGGGAAAATAGCTTGTCTATGGCAAGAAACATGCTTGCTTGCTTGGATTCAAATGCTTCCTGTAATTAGATTACGCATATGTAAACGAATTTGCTCAGCTTGTACAATTTGCTTTATAAAACAAAACTGAAGTTTTTTGAAGAAAAATATTTCGAACCTGTGCTGCTATTATTAGTTTTGAGTTTTCCACTAACTGATCATGAGACTGATGGAGCTGTTTTTGCTTTTGCAGAAGTTCCTCTTGCTGTTTGTGACCAAATTCAGCTAACCTCTGCAGAGTTTCCCTGTAAGTTCGACATTGTCACATTGATATGATATCTAATTATGTCATTGAAAATATGAAGAACTGCAAAAGTAATCCTTGAGGTGTTATATTCTGATTGCATAATGACTTATATAAATTTCAAAATTGCAAAAGCCCCCTTCAACTGTTAGAACTTAGATGCTTGAAAATTTATATTTATGTATAAGGTTCTGTTTCTTTACAGTTTACAAACTAAATTATGGGGAAAAGGAACAAACATCAAATTTTGTTTATTTATTTTTACATAGGTCCTGTTAGGCTTCCATAGCTTCATGAAGAAACATATACAAAAAAACTGTACCTAGTAATAAATAAAATGAAAACTACCTGCTCTCTTCAAGGGCCTTGGATTGAAACTTGGTGAGAAAATTGAGGCCCTCAAGAGCAACTGACTGCCCATCCAAAAGCTGCTTTTGTTTGTCCAAGGACGTCCCTGCAATATCCCCAATATCATCTGCCTTGCTCTGCAAAACACTCATCTTCAAAGACATAGCATCCCCAACTTTCCCAATCTCCTTTTCGATTTCAACCGCTTCATTTCTCATATTTACTATTTCCACCCCCAAACTTTTATAGGAGTTCTCGAGAAGCACCATGCCTTCTACCAAACTTTCCTTCATTTTCACCTGGCCTTCCCTCAGCTCGACTTGAGAATCCTCGATCCCCTTAGACTGCTCGTGAATTTTTTCGGAATATTTCAAAACCGAGCTAACACGATCCTCGACCACCCTCGATGTTTTTGCAACTTGCTGAGTTTGTAAATCTATCGAGGCCAAGGATTCATGCACGTGTTTCGAGTTCTGGAGTAGTAGCTCCCCTTGTTCTTCTATCTTCTCCAATTTGACCTCCGCATATTCAGCTGTACTCTTTAGTTCATTTACCAGTCTCTCTGTTTGACGCTTAAATGCGTCCGACCTAAAATCAGTTCACAAAAAATACAGTTTTTCGCATGATCAAAATTCAAAACATATCATGCATTATGATTTATAACTTTCGAAACTCCAAATTCTCCTCACAATTTTTTGTGCCTAAAAGAATCTCAGAAAGAAAGAGAAAGACTTACTGCAGCTGGTGACAAATGGAGGTGGTCTCGAGAAAGTACTCGAGAAAAATTTTGTGTTCATTTGCATCAAGATTGGTCAAACAATTCTTCATGATCGATTTGGGGTCGCAGTAAGGAAAACTGGGCCTGCCCGTGTGGCGTTGGAAGCAGTCGCTAAGATGCCAGGCGAGGCGGGTCCGCAATTCTTGGTCGGCAAGGGTTTTCGAGCAACCTCCGAACACGTTTTCGTAGGCGGCCTGCCAGCACGAGTCTGGACCTTGCATTTTGATCTTGGCCTTACCGATGAGCTGTACGCCGTTTGGGTCGTGGAGGGCTTCCATGGAGAATTCTGAAAAGGCTTTTCCAGACATCATCGCTTTGTTCGCACCCGAGTGAGTTTCTTGTTTGGGCGAAAAGAACAACCAGCTTGTTGATAGTGGTGCTTGGGATAAAAATAGGATTACGGTTGAAAACATGAGAAGACGATGATGATGGTAATGGTGAAAGGCCATTTTTGGCAAACCCTTTTTTTTTTTTTTTTCACCTGTGATAATACATTGGATTAGCAGCCGTTATTTGCAGAATCTTTGATAAAAGGAAACCTTAAACAATACAAAGATAGTTGCACGTTACACGAAGTGAGTTTCCAAATCAAATTTCAGGCTTCATAATCTTAAATTTCTTTAATAAAACATTTTTCTTTCCTTATTATTCTTTTCGAATTCAAAACTCATAGTATTTTCCTAAGTTAGACTTAGCATAATATTTTCCTACTGTAACAATCCCAGGAGACAGCCAAAAACATGCAAATTAATTGAATTATTCAAATGAAAAATCATGTTAAAGAATTTTAAATAAAACCAAGTAAACATCATAAGACGGCGACTACTATGTTGTATGATTCTTTGAACATGTTTTACGTGCAAATTAACACACACTAGAGTACTCTGGCATAATATAATTTCGAGCCCGAAGGCTACATAAATTTTCAAATACTAAACATTGGTGAGCCCGGCGACTACATTGGCATGGGGATCGTATAGTAATTTGACGACAAAAACGAAACATTTATCCGAAACACGGAAATTAACAGAGAAGAAGAAGAAGAAAAAGAAGAAGAAGAAGAAGAAAGAGAAGATAATCAAAAGAGAAGAAAAAAGAGAGAAGATAAAAAAGTTTGTATGTACTTACGAATTTCAGGTCCTGAAGAGTTGAATCATTCACAAGCAAATTTAACTAGTAAAGATGGGATGATTTAAGGAAGATATTTATAAACGTTAGAAAAAGGAAAGTATTTGCTTGCACTGAAAGAATGTGGGAATTTCGAGAGACTCGTCGTACGTTTTCTCTATTTCTCCAAACGTTGTGTTGTTTAAATAAATAATATACTAAATTAGAGGGTTCTTGTCTGTACGCGCCAAATCTGGACCATTATTATTAGGGATGCCTCATTCTTGTTCATATGG